AATATGATTTAAATTATATAAATTATATTTTTATATAAGTTTTGGAATAAAATACACTTGAAAATCAACATTTTTCCCTTTGTCAAAAAGTCAACGATCAACGAAAGTCAAATTCAACAAGTCAAACTTCAGGCTGAGTACGCCCAACGTACTCAACTCGTACGCATGGCGTACTCACCATCCAGAAACGGGACCCCATACGAGTATGCATAGCGTACTCAAAGTTAGGCCCAACGTACTCAGCTAAATGACACTTTTCCATTAGGTGCTTAATCTCTTAAGTCCTTTCATCCAATTGTAACATTCAAGTTATTGGTAAGTTTCCTTTTAGCCCTTTAATGCAAATTCTTTTCATTTTGGTCATTGGCTAGTATGTGGGGGCGTACTCTATGAGTACGCTTAGCGTACTAGCTATTTGTTGGTCGCGGGCATTACTCATATACGTTAGGCGTACGCACAGTTTGGGCAAACCTTAGGGTTTGCACCCTATTTAAACCTCATTATAGCACCTCTTGGACATGTTTGACCAACCTCCACCTCCCTTTACCCTGAAAAGGAAACCTAAGTGCTTCTTGTGAGTTTTGAGCTTGTAAGTGTGATTTTGGTGGTGTTTTTGTAACATCCCAAAAATTTCAAAAAATTTAAACTTTTCAAAACAATCCATTTACACTTATCATTCCTCTCTTCTTATTACCCCATACCCACCATATACTCCCCTAATAGTACCTATTCACAATCTTCAACCCCGCCTTCAAAACAATAGTCGAAACTTCTACCCTTACCATCCCCTACTATCTCTGTTCATCTTATGCAAACCCGCCTAAAAATGGTATTGTACGAGCAAAACGACTCTTTACTCTCAGTACTCAACATATTTCTCCCGTTCCGTCGAATCATAAAGTTGCTCTATGTGATCAGAATTGGAATAATGCTACACAAACCAAGGTTGTAAAAATCGCTTGATGGTCGATTAGTGTTAAGGGATTAATCGGTCTTGGTGGGGATTAATCGGGGACCACAAATTATTAACAAAATATTAAAATTAATCAAATATTAATATATCTTAAGAAAAACAAGTACTTCAAAATTAGAAAATAAGAAATTTGAAATTTGAAATTTTGAGAATACGAAAATATAAACATTTTGGTATAAATTTTGAAAATTTGAAAATTTTGGGGTGAAAAAAAAAAGTTCGATTTTTTGAATTTTTTTTTTTACTATTTTGACTTTTTTAACGGATTAATCCCGCCAATACCGATTAATCCCACCAAACCCGATTAATACTAAATTTACGATTAATACCTTAATCATCGACGGTTGGAGAACGCAAAGTGATTAATCCCGATTTCTGCAACCATGATTGAAACTGAGATTAATGCTTTACTTAAACAAGAAACTTGGGACTTAGTGCATGAGATTAATGCTTTACTTAAACAAGAAACTCGGGACTTAGTGCCACGCCCACTGATGAAAATATTATACGTTTCCATTGGATTTTTAGACACAAGTTCCATGCAAATGGTACACTTGAACGATATAAAACAAGATTGGTGGTTAATGGCAACTCACGGATTGAAGGAATTGACTGTGTTGAAAATTTCAGTCTTGTAGTTAAACCTGCTACAATATGCACGCTCCTCAGTTTAGCAATGAGTCAAAATTGGTCTATACATCAACTTGATGGCAAAAAATGCATTCTTACATGGCGATCTAAAAGAGACAATGTATATGCATCAACTGCCCGAGTTCTTTAATTCCTCCTATCCAGATCATGTTTGCAAACTTCGCAAATCACTGTACGGTCTGAAACAAGCACCACGGGCTTGGTATCAACGGTTTGCTACTTACCTTTTGCACTTGGGTTTTACTTGCAGCAAAAGCGACAACTCCTTGTTCATTCTTCGTCGCCAACAAGAATATGCCTACTTGCTTCTCTGCGTGGATGATATTGTTCTCACTACTTCTTCTGACTCTCTCAATACCGCTCTCATTGTTGTTCTTAAAACCAAATTTGAGATGTCTTATCTTGGCCTGCTATCTTATTTTTTGGGTATTTCCGTTAAACGAACAACTAATAGTATGTTCCTCACTCAACAAAAATACATGGAAGAACTGTTACATTAAGCCAATATGTCCACTGGTAAACCTGTTTCTATAAACACATAACCCGGATCCGAACTCGTTTATCTTTCATGTATATTGTACACATGTTAATTACCTTTTGATTTTCTAGATAACTATAGAACTAGTCTTCCACATTTGTTGTAACAGATCCAATACATTCGGATCTCTGTGTAAATGTACCTATTTCATTCTCAGTGAAATACAAGTTCTTTTCACACATTTATATGGTATCAGCCAGGTCTCCTTTCTCTCTCTAAAAATCACCTTCTCCCACTACCGATTTCATGGCGACTGAATCAAATTCCTCCTCTTCTGTCGTCAATTCTCTTCCCCTCTCCACAAATTCCCTAACCCTAGTCCAATTCCCTTCTTCGCTGAAATTAACCTCCACAAATTACATGAGCTGGAAAACCCAAATTGAAGCTCTACTTTACGGATTGGACCTCTACAAATTCATTGACGGTACCCATCTCCCTCCGTCACCTACTATCAACGAAGAAGGTGTATCCACCCCTCACGCTGATTACCCAGCTTGGTTCCGCCAAGACCGCCTTCTTTTTGGCGCCATCGTTGGTACCCTTTCCCCCGCCATTGTTCCTTTGATCACAGGTGCGACCTCATCTCTTGAAGCTTGGAAAATCTTATCCAATACCTATGCTAAGCCTTCTAGAGGCCACATCAAGCAGCTACAGCACCGACTCAAACAAACTACCAAAACATCTTCTTTATCCATCACTGATTATATGCAAACCATCAAAACCATTGTTGATGAATTAAGCATATTAGGCAAGAAAATGGATCAAGAAGACATTACCGATGCCATCCTCACAGGTTTAGACTCCACAGCCTACAAACCCGTTATTGAAGCTATTCATGCCCGTGATACCCCCATTTCCTTCTCTGAACTTCATGAAAAACTAATAAATCATGAACTCTCTCTCATTCAGACACCCTCAGTTCCTACCTCTATTCACCAACCTACCACTGCCTTTGTTGCCAACAAACGACCCCCTACCAGATCCTGGAACAACCGACAAACAGCCACAAACACTCCCCTCTTACCTACCCCTACATCAGCTCCACACAAAACAAATAACTCACCACGCCCATTTCTTGGAAAATGTCAGTTCTGCTTTGCTCAAGGTCACTCCTTATCCTCCTGTTATTCATTCAAGAATAAGTATCCTCAGATTGCCTTGCCATCAATATCTCGCAACACATACACTGTCAACTTGGCTCAAGCCCCTGTTCCCTATACTCCCAACAACAATCCATCTTGGTTATTTGATAGTGGAGCCTCTCATCATGTGACTAATGACCTCAGTGCATTGTCTCTCCACACACCTTACGACGGTACTGATGAGCTGGTTATTGGTGATGGTTC